CTTACTAGCCGTCATCAGCCAGTCATACCCAATCTCAAGGGTTGGAACCCCGGAGATTTGAACCCAGGACCTTTAGTCATTTAGTTCAATACGCTACCACTACTCCACGGGCTCCTTGCTTTGTCGATTGTGATCGGGAATATGATGAATACATGTGTTTCGCCGATCTAAAAGTGGAACAAGGGTTCCAACCCTTAAGATTGGGTATGACTGGCTGATGACGGCTAACTAGCCAGAACTGGCCATTCCGGTTTCCTTTTGCTTTTCGGATCTATTTCATATAAATATTTGATTGTACACCGATCTATCTTTCAGGATGTGCCCATCCTGGGTTGATGCCTGCGACTTCGGGCCAAGCGATTGTTTTCGCAAGACTACTAATCGTAATGTTACTAATAAAGTGTCAGTAATATATTTTTGGTTGGGATCTCTGCCCCTGACCGGCGAGACACGAGTTCGAAACTCGGCGATGGTAGCAATTTGATCGGCTACAAAAGAGTTGGCTATCCGTAGCTGACTACGGCCAAAAAGCCAGAACTAACTTTATTACGGTGCCCTGTCTTTGCCGGAATACTAATCCTATAATATAAATATATGTATATATGCAGAAGGACATTGCCAGCAAAAACATGGGGCACCAGGAAGGCCTTTTCTGGCTGTATTGGCCGTCGTCAGCTAGGGGTAGCCAACTCTAGTGGAGCCGCGGCAATTGCTGCCACACTCGAGTTTCGAACTCCTGTCTCACCGGGCAGAGGCAAACGTCCTAACCATTGAGCCAGGAGTTCGCTGCCTTGCCGGTTGCTGATCGGGAGAATATCGTAGTTAATTGTACACCGATCTATCTTTCAGCATGTATTCATCCTGGATGATGTCTTGCTAACGACGGCCAATACAGCCAGTAATAGCTATTCTAGGGCGCCTGCCTTTGCCGGAATACAACTATAACATGAGGATATGTTACTGAAACTTACTTTATAACATTAAAATTAGCAGCCTTGCGAATATACAACCGGTTGACCCGAGTTCGCGAAACATCAACCAGGATGAATACTTCCTGAAAGATAGATCGGCGTACAATTAACTACATGCAGAAGCACATTACCGACAAAAACATGGGACACTAGGAAGGCCTTTTCTGGCTTATTTGCCATCGTCATCTAGTGATACCCAACTCCAATGTTTGTCCCTGAAATTGCTGTCACATTTGAGTTTTGAACTCGCGATCTCTCCGGTCAGGGCAAACATCCTATGCATTGAGCTACGAGCTAACGGTCTTGTTGGTATTAGATCGGGGATATACAGTAGCAGTCTTTGTCGGACAGGACAGGAGTCACAGCCTGGATTTCAAGGCACATTCGACTTGTAGAGACAAGTTTTGGCCCGCAAACTAAACAACCACGCAGCACACAGTAAATGTACTATCTCATGGGATGTCAAATTCTAAAATGAGATTTCGACTTGAAAAGGCCACTCAAGTAGATTTGTAGTAGTATTTCTTGTGCAGTATGATTCGAAGGTATTTCAGTCATAGGAAGCTGCCGCATTTTTAACGAGCCTGCTGTGGGCCATCTGGAAAGGCTATAAAAAGGCCAAAAAATTAACTACATAAATATTATGAATGTTTAGAATTGATTTTTGACGCTCTTATAAATAAAATTGAAATTTATAGAAAGTATACACTAAAACATTTTTCTTGTATTCACTTGGCAGAAAATGACGTCCTCTTCGAACTTTATACTCAACGAAAGAGTATTTTTGGTTTTTAAAGCGTTTATGCCCAATGAATTTATAACACTGACATATCTATTCATAAATCATCGTATCTATCCATTTCTTAATGTTGTTGGCAAAGTGTACAAAATGCTAAATATCCACTGCAAAATATTAGGGGCCCTATATTAAATCTTTTTATAAGCTTATATAAATGTTTGATTATCCTTAGACTGAAACTACAAGGTTTCCATTTGGAAACCCCGAAGGCAGGTATAACAGCATGTTCGGGTTCAAAATTACTCGCGAATGACAAAAATGAAAAGATACAATTTCTTCAAGTACATAATTCTGAGAAGACATACTTTGCCACCAACCAAATATTTACAATAATGAATATGTTTATGCATTTCTGAAAAAAATCTATTTGAATTTACAAGGATATCTAAAATCAATAGAAAAATTCATATTTCTTAAGCAGTCATTTTTAGTCCAATGCAGTTTTTAGAAGCGAGCGGAAAGAAGCTCGGTTCAGCGCTGGCATCCTGACGTGACTGATATATATATGGGGATCATAGTGCAGCATAAGTAAAAAGATTTAAAATAAAAAACAAAAAACATATTTCAGAATTTTAGTTAACTTTCCATGAGATAGCATATGTAATGTAGCTGCGGAAGTATCGTTACTTATATTACTCTTAAGTCGGCAGTAGACCAACTGTCGTGGCTCATTTGCCGAGACCCGGCCGCACATTAAAATTTGATGAGACTGAAATTCTCCTGAAAGGTGACAATCGTGTGATTCGCGAGCTACTTGAGTTATGGTTCACGACACCTTAGTCTATAAACAAATGCAACGACTTGCCCAATTCATACTCGGTGTTGAAGCTCACTTTAGCCAGAACAATTCGTCACTCTGGGAACGCACAGGCGAACGTGGCGTCTAACGCCAGAGCCAGGTAGCCGAGCAATCATCATGCCCAACTCCAACACGGGGGATGAAAATTTAGGTCACGACCCGCACCCCAGCCATGAAGCGGGCAACTATCCTCGATAGGGGGAGCTATTAATTGTCATAAGTACGCAATGGCATAGCGACTTTATCCTATAAGTACTGCAACTCCCTCTATATGATTTGCCCGTTTCTGCTATTGCCTCTGATGATGGACCCGCGACAGATTTCGAAACGTCGGGCGAATAAAATGTCTGTTTCAGCGATTACATCTGCTTCTCAATTATTTTCTGGGACTCGCATTTCACTTGAATTAGTAGATTAGTGTGGTCGAGTCCTCTTCGGAGGCCAGTTGATTACGTAACCCGCTATGGAGAAACAAGCACACAAGCCCTTAAAATAAGTGGCAAAGGCGTCTGCGATGAACTTCGGCAAATAGCTCAGCACACCCACGGTTCACTTACCGTAGGGGAAACTGAGCTCATACCCGTTGACGGAGTCATCGGTGGCAGGGTGTAATTGATGGACGGAAGCCAACCAGTAGGCTGCTGGGCCAATTCATCGGCCTCCTTTTGTTTAAGCGGACGAAGTTCACAGCCGTCAACCAGTCCCCTAAAAACAAAGGGGAACAAGAAACACTCTTCAGAGATAAACTTTTAGATTAAGCAGTCACATCAAATATTTCGCCGTTTGTCTTGGGGTAACTGACAGTTAACGCGGATGAGGGAGGAGCCCAT